ATTCGAAAGAGAAGAGAAAAATATCTCGTTCGATTGATGACATATTCATTTTATAGAAATTTAGAAACTAGAATGTGGGGACTGCCCAGCAGCTTATACAGGTCAGACAGGCAGAAACCTCGAAATAAGATACTGAGAACATGTATTAACAGATAAAAAATCAGCCATATATGGACATCTAAAAGAAACAAACCATACAATAAAAGAAACATGAAAATTCTTCATACATGTAACAAAGGAAGGGAGATGAATTTATTGGAAGCGTTGGAAACAAATAAATTGTACAAGGACCCCAAGTTCATAACGCTCAACGACCAACTAGATCTATGCAGCTCGCCCCTTTTGAATTCAGGAATTTCAGGATCCATCCAATAGTTGGTTATCGTAACATATTGTAATATTGGTAACGTGTTAGGTCAGGTACCTGTCCACACTATTCAAGACGCAACTTGACAATTTGTGGTAGTTACTTGAAAATGGCCTTATAAGCCGAAACCGGTCATAACGAATAAATAAACACAGTAGAAACTAGACAAAAGTATTTTCTTTATTCTATATTCAAGAGAAAAATATCTTTATCAACATCGATAAAGAGGAGCATCAAAATCATGAATAATGAACCAATTGTTATTCCGCTAGCGATTGCCAAACGATTCAAAGGAAATATCTCAAAAATTATTTTCAACAAGGTTGAGGAGGGCGATATTTCATCTGTATCAAGATTCTTAGTTCTAACGATACTCTCGCTGATTATGACAACGAAGCTCATTCTCAAACATCCAAAGCCGACTCAATATCAAATGCATCTGAACCTTCACTTGATTAAACAAGCAATTCAACATTTCAAGTTCCTGAACAACTTATACTTGCAACAGTGAAAGCGTTCCGCACTGGATTAACTGGAGGACTAGATGGCTTTCGTCCAAGTCACATACAAGACCTTCTCAGTTATAATGTTGGTAATTCTAGAGATAAACTACTTACTTTTATGACAAATCTTTGTAATCTCTTATTATCTGGGAGAGTTAATCCAGAGATTTGTCCAATACTTTACAATGCATCTCTCAGTGCTCTCAAAAATAAAGACGGAGGAATACGTCCCATTGCCATGGGTACTTTCTTTCGCTGGTTAGTGGCCAAACTAGGTTGTTCTCGTATTAAAGAAGACCTTGGGTCCATTTTACGTCCCATTCAATTTGGTTTCGGTACTTCTGGAGGATGTGAAGCGGTCGCCCATGCAGCACGCCGATATATCCATCAACATCCAAATTCGTTATCAAACATTTTCCTTAAGATGGATTTCAAAAACGCATTCAACATGATTGACAGAAATTTGATGTTTCAACGGTCACAAGAACAAGAGTCTATGCCAGACCGGTTCCCTTTTATATATCAATGCTACAGATTTCCAAGTTTTTTGAATTTTGGTGAACATTTGATTGAATCTCAGAGAGGTATCCAACAAGGCAATCCTTCAGGACCTGCACTTTTCTGCCTGACCATTCAAGAGCTAACTAGAAAACTGAATTCAGAATTCAACTGTTGGTATCTGGATGACGGATGCATTGGGGAGATGATATTGACATTGTATTGAAGGATTTGGAGATAATTATCAACAGTTCAAAACAAATTGGTCTCGAACTTAACTTCCATAAATGTGAAATAATTTCCAATTCAAGTCTTGAATCAGAATATTGTTCCTGGTATAAAACTAATGGAAAAATCGAAATAGGAACTACTTGGCGCCCCTCTCACTAAGGAAGCTCTATGTGAAAGTTTGCAGAACAAAATAGATTCTCTTGACTTGATTTCCACACGTTTATACGATTTGCCAATGCATACTTTCTTTTTTTATTGAAAAATTGTTTAGCCATTCCTAAACTACTCTATACTCTAAGATGCTCTCCTTGTTGTAAAAGAAAAGTATACCTTAAGAAGTTTGATGATCACCTACGTAACATAATTGAACATGTTACCAACAGCGGTTTCACCGATATTTCTTGGTCTCAAGCAACATTGCCTGTGAATCGTGGAGGGTTGGGTCTGCGCTCAGCATCATCGCTGGCTTTACCAGCATTTGTCTTCCATCAACAATGTTTCGCAGTTGATAGAAATGATACTTCCAGTTTCCTTTACCAATATAAAAGATAATTTAACCGTCGAAGGCGAATCTATTTGGTGTTCTCAAACCAAAAGCCATGTGCTTACGGATCTCAAATCACTTCAGAAAGCATGGGACAAACCTTCACTAAAAATTGCTTCTGGCTCTATCACTTCATCTTTGTCATCTCCCTCGGCAAAAGCTCGCCTCAAAGCCTTCAATATTAAAGAATCTGGTGCTTGGTTGAACGCATTACCTGTTGCTACTCTGAGAACACTACTAGATAATGATAGTTTCAGGGTAGCCATTGGACCCAGATTGGGTTTAGATATTTGTACTCCTCATAAATGTATTTGTGGTAGTGAATTAAATGAAAAAGGTACTCATGGTTTGAGCTGCAGAAAGAGTTCTGGGCGTTTTCCAAGACATCACCAAGTTAACGACCTTGATATCAGCCGGGATACCTTCTATCCTAGAACCACTAGCTACTAGCTGTGATGATGGCAAACGTCCTGATGGAATGACACTTGTTCCCTGGAAATGTGGCAAAGCTGCCGTTTGGGATTTTACATGTGCAGACACGTTGGCTCCATCTCCTTTAGTTGGAACGTCCAAAAGTGCAGGTGCTGCTGCCATAACCAGTGAAAAAGCAAAACAGCAGAAATATCAAAACCTTGGAAACAACTTTATATTTTATCCTGTGGCTGTAGAAACTTTCGGTGTATTTGGGCCTTTATCTCTAAATTTTGTCAATGAAATCAGCAGAAAGATGACTGAAGAAACTAAAGAAAAAAGATGTACCCACTTTCTGATCAAAAAAATTAGTTTAGTTATACAGCGTGGTAATTCAGCTTCTGTTTTTGGCACCATCCTATTGTCACATTCACTAGATGAAATTTTTCTTCATCCCTTTGTTTCCAAATCCTATTTATACCCTAGACACGATGAAAGATTGTTTCCTCATAAAACCTCCCATATTCCTTGTGATACTCCCCATAATTTCCCATCAGAAGATACAGAGAAACATGAACAACGTTGTGTAAACAATATTGGATCAGAGATACATTCTTCAGTCAAAACTCTTTGATTTAATGGGTTGAAAAATGTTTGAAACACCTGTTTCATGAACAGTATAATCCAATGTTTATCAAGCACGAGATGGTTGTTGGAATATTTAAAAACGGATACATACATGGAAGATATCAATGCTAGTACTTCTAGTATGAAAGGTGCTTTAATCAAAGCGTTCGCAGAAGTTATCAAGAAATTGTGGTCAGAAGTTTCATCTGATAGAGTAATAAACACTGTCTACTTTAAAAGTCAGATTCAAAGATTTGCCCCTCGATTCATGGGATCTTCCCATCAAGACGCCCAGGAATTCCTTCGATATTTTTTAGAAGGTTTACATGAGGACCTCAATGGAATTACTGAGAAACTTAAACCGATCTTAACGGAGATTGACGAAAAATTGAGCGACAGCGGAAAACAGCAAGAGTCCTGGCTGAGATACATGAACATGAACAACTCTAAGATTGTAGACGATTTCGTTGGTCAATTAAAATATACTATGAAGTGCACACACTGTGGATTCTCATCAGTAAACTTCGATCCTTTCTGGGATTTGTCTCTCCCTATACCACAAAGAACTGGCCAATTGAGTTTGTCACAATGCTTGGATTTCTTCACAAAAGAGAAAACCCTAGATGGAGATGAAAAACCAACTTGTTCGAGGTGCAAGGAAAGAAGAAAATGCACAAAGTCCCTATCGATCCATAAGTTTCCCCGTATTTTAGTAATTCATTTAAAAAGATTCTCTCCAACGGAAAGATTCAGAGGCAAATTGAATGTTGCCATTGAGTTTTCTTTACAAGGATTAGATATGAGCAATTATGCAGCAGACAATGTGGCTCCTTGTCGTTACAATCTATATGCGCTTTCGAATCACAGTGGGACTACTTAGAACCGGCATTACACAACATATTGCAGACACCCTCATAGTGGCACGTAGAATGAATACAACGATTCACACGTATCCCCAATTACACCAAAATCGCTTGTGAGTGAGGAAACATATGTCCTCTTTTATGAACAGGAAGGAACAAAGCAGCACTTTCGAGGTGTTTTTTTTTTATCTCTCTTTTAATAAGCTAAATTCTGGTAATTGATTTGTATTTCATGATTCTTCTGAATAATAAATGTTTATAAGTACCAAGTACTAGTTTGCATATAGGGGTCGTGAAACACAAACAAAAGAAAAGCCAGAGATTGTGGTGGAAAATCAGGAAGTGATTCATCAGACCAACTACCCACTCATGCGTCTACGTTAGGTAAGGTTTAAGTGGTATTAAAAACTTGCTTTAGAATACTTTCTTGGTTAAAGGAAAAACAGATTTCAACAGATATCAATTGAAAATACTTTGTTTAATTCAGAAGGTCATTAAAACTCCTACAGCTTTTAAAACTCAAATAAACCAGCGGACAATATTTATTATTTAGGGGAAAACCGGTTCAAGATCTTTTGAATATAAAGGAAATACTAAGGAAGACTCCTAAATAATATGAATCTTACCAACTAAGAGGGATAAAAATAATAAACGAACTCAAAGACTGTGCACCTCTTATGCCAAGATGATAGAAGACAATGTATGAAATATTGTTAGACACAAAGCATATACTGTTCAGAATGTACTTCCCAACCCTTAATAAAATGAATTGATCATGCAACAATTGCTCTTACACTGAAAATGTCAATGAAATTAAATATTTGTACAGTGAAACAAGTGTCATAGTTTTTGCCAAACTGTCAAGTGAAAATCTCACAAGTGTTATTAATTTATTTCATAAAGAGTTTTCATGAAGTATGTTGAAGTTAGTTGCATATATGACTAAAAATATTTACCATTCATTTGAAAATGTATTTTGTCTTCCAGTCGGCACTTCCTGATCTAACTCTTCATCAAAATAAAAATCAAGTTCTTCACGCTCCTCACGTTCGTAAGTCTTGAACTCTTTTTTAACCTTATTTTCTTTGTTTTTTCTCTTAACTTCTCTCCAATTGGTTTCATCATCATTATTTTCGTCATTCTCCTTATTTGCATTCTGTCTATCATCTGCTGTTCTATTGCCATTCACAAGTTTGTTATTGTTATTCGTGATCTCTTGAATTTTTTGTTCTATAAAAAAAACTGGCATCATATTTTGAAAGAATATTATTATGAATTATTACTAGGAATATCAAACTATTTCAAACTCATGCGAATGATTACTGAGAGTAGTGTTTGTAGATTTTTTTTAGTTAACTTATCAATTAATACCAAAAACTGCTCTCCAATACCAGAACTACAACACTCTCTTTTGGATGAACTATAATTAATCTCCTGATGACGCCAATTTGGTTGGTGAAACGTATGAAGAGTGCTGCAGTTTTTGCTTTACTTTACATTCATTTTACACCACAGTTTCCAGTTCTACACCTTTCAGTTAACCTAAAGATTATTTTTCAATAACAACTGACACCATCAACAGAAAAATGCTAATAACAAAACTAAAATATTATGGTACTGAAGATAATGTTTTGAAATGATTTGAGCAATATCTAAGCAATAGATCTCTCAGAAACGTAAAAGAGAGAAAGCATTTTCTACTGAACTGGTTAATGATAGGGGGTGCCCCAGGGCAGTGTTTGAGGCCTCTCCTATCAATGATTTACATGAATGATATCAATTTTATGAAGGGATATGATTTTCTCAATCTTTTTGCAGACAATACTTCAGTAGCAAGTTATAGTGGTGACTTGGGTGAAACGGTAACAACACTAAATCTTATTTTTGACTCATTCGAATCATTTTTGAAAAATATTAAGAAAAAATTAAATTCAAAGAAAGCAAAGGCAATGATCCTGAGTACAAAACACAAATTAAAAAAAGTGAACTATCAACATTTACACATAAAAAAAATGTGCAAATCTGGAATGGGTTGAGGAATTTAAATATCTAGGTTTTAAGATAGATGATAAGACTAAATTTTAAGAGTCACAGCTATTACATCTGTGAAAAAATATCAAGAAACTTTTTCTTTCTATCTAGAGTAAACCATAACATGTCTCTCTTTTTCAAAATAACCATCTAAAGGACGATAATACAACCCCACTTTGACTATTGTGCTAGCTTACTGTACCTATTGGACAAATACTTCAAAAAAGTGGTATGAGAATCATTCTGCAATGCAATAAATATGTTCAAATTGATCTGATGTTAATAACTTCGAATTGGCATAACGTAAACAAACGGCTGTTTCTCATGACAATGGTATTTATTTATAAAATAACAGAAAAGTTACTTTCAAGTTATATTAATTCATTAAATGCATATAATAATGAGATCCTACAAAAAATGTGACCAATTTCCATACAGTTCGAACTCGAAATGTAAGCTAAATGAAAAAATTATTCTCCAAGGGCTCAAATGATTTCAATAACCTCTCAATCGAAGTGAAAAATTCACCATCTGTAAACACATTCTAAATTCGTTTAAATGAATTCATTTCACCGCTCTACATGTGAAAAGATGAATTATGGAAGGCATGTGTGTGAGTGTGTGTGGGTTGTGTTGCTCATGTATACTGAGTGTACATGAGTATAATATGTGTATAATTTAACCTCTGATGATTGCAACACTTCAAGTGCACTTTTTTGTCTTTAGCTCGTGAAGTGCTTGGTTTCGTGTAAAGTAAATGTAATTTTTTCACTGATGTTTGTCCTTCATTACTACTCTATGTTTCATTTGTTTGATCCGAAATGAAATATGCTTTTATACTCCACTCCGCCGTATAGAGTTTCATAAATAAATAAAATCAAATGTTTATACTAGACTTTTGAATGCTCTATGTTAAATATTGCCAGTGATCAAGTCCCAAATTTATGAATCACCCATATAACACAAAATTCAAAACAAGTTTCTGAAATCACTAACACAATATCAAGGAGTACCATACATTGTCAAAACGATTAGTTATTATGAAGAAGAAAAACCACTGTGGAGTTCCTCAAGACTCATTCCTTGGTCCACTATTATTCCTTCTTTATATAAATGATCTGACATCTATTGATATTGAAGGTGAGTTCACACTTTTTGCTGACACTACAATTTTATAGCATGATCAAAATCCCTCTGAACAATAATAAATTGTGATATTATCAAAATTAAAAAATGGTGTGAAGCAAATCTTCTCAGTTTTAATATACCTAAAACGAATGTAATTTGCTTCTAATGTTCCATTAGCAATTTATAAGTTGACATCTTTGTTGTAAATAAACCATCAACTAAATTTGTGGGACTAATTATTGACAATGAGTTGAAATTTGAAGACCATATCAGGGGTCTCAAATCAAAGTTGTCCTTTGGGTCTTGCACGGTGAGGCTGACATCTTGTGAGTTAGAATTTGCCGCTGCCAAAGTTACATATCACTCTCTCATAGAATTTCACCTACGATATGAAATCCCTTTTTGGGGTGTATGTACTGTGACAACATTGCAATCAATTTTAGTTATACAGAAAAGAGCTGTAGGTTTTCTGTGTAAAGCAAAGCCACGAGATTCTTGCAAACCACTGTTTAAGGAAAAGAAAATCCTCATTGCAATGTCAACTTTTAATATTGAAACTATATGTCTCATAGTAAAACATCAAAATGGGTTTTCAATTAACGCATTCATTGAGTATTGGCCATTTGAAAGGTTCATTTCTTGGTCGTACCTTCAAGTGAAGAGGTGTCATTTCAGATGATAACCATTATTGAAAATTTTACCTTGAAACCTGCAGTCAATTCCAGTTTATCAGAGGAACTTATTGCTTCAACAATCAAAGCTATATTATTTGTCAAAGCCTGAACTCGATGGAAAGAAGCAATAAGTGTAACAGGTAAATATCCTTCAGGGTCCATTTTCCTTCGCAGAAAAAAGTCTCTATTCAGATTATCTTCGCTAAAGTAATATTCTCTGAAAAAAATTTATATTTGTACTGAAACTGGAGATTTTTGGCAAAAGACTATACAATTTCTAATAAAAATGTGTTTTTGAAACACCTTGATGAATTTTACTAGTTCGGACTTCCATTGTCTAATATATAAAATGATTTGAAATCTCTCAGAAACGT